TGTTAACCAGGATGGTCTCGATCTCCTGACCTCGTGATCCGCCCGTCTCGGCCTCCCAAAGTGCTGGGATTACAGGCTTGAGCCACCGCGCCCGGCCTTGAGCCACCGCGCCCAGCCTAGCATGAAATTTCTTTTGCTAGGTTTCTTTCTGATAAGGGAGAAGAGCTTAATATCTCTACCTTTCCTCTCCTCCTCCTGCCTGGTCTCTGTATTCTGGGTTAAACTTTAATTTATGTTGGGGATTTGCAATGTCTGACACATCTACCTGAGCCTTCTGCACAGAGATACATTGGGAGTGGAGGCTAATAATTGGGTCAAAGGAGAAACGCCGTAAGCCCACACTCCAGCCTATCAGGGTGGATTAAAGGTCTGACTTGCCCAACTCTTGTCTCACCTGCTCCCATGGTCTGAGTAAAAGTCTGGGTCCTGGGACTACGAGGTTGTGTGAAGCCTTCCAGCCCCATACCTGCAGAACAGTTTGCAGTTCACTCTGCTCTGAACTGCCCCAACTTTGCACAGATATTCTTCATTCCTCGAAAGAAACTGCACCCTTCAAAGCTCACACGTTTCCCTTCTTGGCTCAGCACAGGGAGCAAGTTCTCTAGATAGCTTATTATCAAATAAAATGGTGGAGAAGGGAACCCAGGCAGCTGGGCACAAAAGGGAATGAGCAACAAACTTCCTCTCCGAACACGATTTTCTGTGTAAGATCCTGGACACTCCCTGGACTGCTCCCAGCCATCTGCCTCATGCTAGATTTCTAGTTAACTTTAAATAAGAAAAACTCACATCTTCCTTCTAGATGTAGCTGTGGTCATTTCAACTTAGGCAGTTGTGCTTGAGACTCTTCTCCTTAATACCACACGACAAGGTCATTCCCCACTGCTTTTATTTACCTTCACTTAAATTTTTGTACTTAACATTGGATTGAACAAGAACAGAGAAGAGAATCACAATTATTGTGTAGATGCTACATTGTAGTTACATTTTATCTTGTAATTATTACAGTGCTGGGACTATTCAAGCTTTAAAATCCTTTCTTGAGATCTCGAAGCTAGTCAGTGGTTGTGCTGGCATTGATATGGTTTGAGTCTGTGTCCCTACCCAAATCTCATGTTGAATTGTAATCCCCAATGTTGGATGTGGCGCCCGGTGGGAGGTGTTTGGCTCATGGGAGCAGATCCCTCATGGCTTGGTGCAGTCTTCCTGTTAGCAAGTTCTTGCAAGATCTGGTTATTTAAAACTGTATAGCACCTGCCCCCTCTCTCTTGCTCCTGCTTTTGCCAAGTGGTGTGCCTGCTCCTACTTTGCCTTCTAACATGAGTAAAATTTCTCTGAGGCCTCCACAGAACCAGATGCCACTATGCTTCCTGTACAGCCTACAGAATCATGATCCAATTAAACCTTTTTTGTTTATAAATTACCCAGTCTCAAATATTTCCTTTTTTTGGGGGGAGGGGTCTTAAACTCCAGGCCTCAAGCAATTCTCCCACCTTGGCCTCCCAAGGTGTAATCCCAAAATGCTGGGATTACAGGCATGAGCCACCATACCCAGCCAGATATTTCTTTATAGCAACACAAGAGTGGCCGAATACAGAAGGATATTGTCACTGATTTACTCCTAGTCTTCTCTCCTGTATGTCGCTGTGCTTGACTAACCTTAAACAGTCACTTTAAATAACTTGTAAGATTCACCTAACTACACACTTTTTATATTGTCCTTCAATCCTTGTACTTAAGGCATAAACATGTTTTATGCTTATTATATAGGCATTTAAATAATGCATATAGGCCCTATGTTTCTCTATCAATGTTATAATTTTTATCAGCCACATAATTTTGAATCACATTTATATACCATCATTCACCTTCCATCTATCCAAAAGATACAAGAAGGGGAAATAAAAGAATAAAAGGTAAGTGCTAATAGATAATCTGAATAGGCCTATGTCCATTAAAGCAATTGAAACAATAATTAATAACCTTCCAAAACAGAAAGCCAAGACGCCAATTGGCTCACTGATGAATCCTACCAAACATTTAAGGAAGAAATTATACCAATTTTCTTCTACGTCTTTTGAAAGACAGAAGCAGGGAGACTATTCCGTAACTCATTTTATGAGGCCAGCATTACCCTAATGCCAAATACAGAGACATTACAAGAAATCAAATAAAAGAGAAAGAAGGAAAAAAAAGAAATAAAAAAATTATGCAGATTAATATTGCTCACAAACCTAGATGCAAAATTCTCAGGAAAATATCAAATCAAATCCAGCAAAGTAGAAAAATAATCACACACATTAACAGGGGTGAGATGACGTCTTATCATGGTCTTGACTTGCATTTCCCAGATGATTAGTGATGTTG